ATATATATATAAACTCTTCCAAGCACGAATTTTTACTGGATTTTTCACTCTATTTAACCAGCGGCGGCCGACCCAGGAGTCTGAAATAGAGGGGGCCCAGAGAGTGAGTATCACAGAGGGTGGGTCTGTGCCACCACAGTCCCATCATGGATGGGGCTGATCTATGAACATTTATGATATGGCATCTTTTGGCTAGAAATGGCACTCTCAGACTCAACATTTGTGTAGAATTTTCCTTTTTTTCTCTATTTTTTTTATTGGGGGACTGGGCCAGTTGACCCCCCCCCCCCCTGAGTCCGCCACTGCTAACCTCAATCCCTCACCCCCATCCTCGAATCCTGGCCCACCCATTTGGTGGTCCTCTCACGATACGGCGTAGTATAGGTCTACAATGTCTCACAGTAATTGGCAATCTCGTCGGGAGAGTTTATTGTTGTGATTCTTGTCAGGTTGTGACATCAAGAAGGTACTAGTCTATGGAAGAGTGTACTTGTAAACAATGGTTCTCACAAAATAGAGCGCATCTTATTATAATAACAGTGAATCGCGTCCTTCGCTGACCAATTACTGTTATGAACTTTAACAATGTGTGGAATCGTGCAATATTTGATGAATCGTCATGTACTAATAATTCGACATGCAGATAGTCATGTATGTTTAACTCCGAAGGTTCATTCTATATTTATGAGTATTTAATAGGCATTAGGAGGCACCATACTGATGTTTTCAACCAGTTTAAAACGAATACGGATATCAATCTGATGCAATTAATATAAGGTTATCTGTATTGAGATTATGTCCAATATTTTCAATAGCCTATGATCTATGAATGGTACACACCTGGTCCATGATATTCTTCCATGTTATTCATATGAATTAGATTTATTCCACCCAATAAGATATTATAGTTACTACTTTCCATCAAAATGTGTTATTGCGTGATCATAAGGGCCTGATCCCTACCAGGTTAGACAAATCTAATTCTACTGGAGTAAAACATAATAGATTGTGTTGAAAATTATGTTGCTTCCATTAGATTTGTTTACTTGTTTATTTGATGGAGGCGTTTCCAAATGAGGCCCTTGAGGGGCGTTTATTCGAGGGGGCGTTTATTCGAATAAATACGGTATATAGACTCTGGCATTAATAATCCAATTCACTTGCAATTCATCACTGTTTCATCAAGTTTTTGAATAAAGTATTTATTAATTCATCGGCCTCGGAAAACCACTTGATATTAATTCAGTCTTTGTCAATCTGTCCAGCATGGAACGCACATTATTAGTCAGGGTTTTATAAGTACCGTAACGTATGTTAATGTTGTATAACAGACTGAATAAAATTGTATTTACTTATTTATTTGATTATTTATTTTCTATTGTTCATTATTATGTTCTCGTTTGAACATTAGAAAACATCGATTATTAGTCAGAGTTCTATGAGTTCAAACGGAATAAAATTGTATTTATTTATTTATATTCTATAGCTTATTATATGTGTTCGTTTGAACATTAGAAAACATTCCTTTTTTAATACAAATAGAAAATAATAAAATATCTGGAAAAAATGACGCACTAACTCATTGCAGGCCTATATTCAATGGTTAACTAAACAAGGGCAGAGCAAAGCTGATAACCAAATTCTCTTACTACCAAAATTAAAGAATTGACCAACAATAATGGCCTGTCCAGATTTTTGTCATAATGACTATGCCCGTAAAACCTGGAATAAAAGCTGTCATTGTTTTTTTTTTAAAGGCCTTTGGCACTTTTTGCGATGGGCTTGTTTTCTAGATTGCTTTTGCAAACTAAAGAGGGGGCTTCTTTTTAAAATGAATACTGTAAGTATTTTGAATTGCTACTATGTATACGACATTTTCTAACTATGAAATTCGAAAATATATATTTTTTTTATTTTAACCATGCTGGCAATAAATGACTAAAGTACTTTCTTGATTAGAGGCCCATGGGCTCATTTTCGAGAATGGCTTCTTTTCAAAACTAAATAGGGAGCTTACTTTGGAGATGGGCTTCTGCTCGACATTAAGCCCATTGTGCCGGCATCTATTCGATACTTACGGTGGGCATACAACAGTTTTTTTGTCAAAAAATCTGGACAGCAGCTTTATAGAGCCCGACGATTCCAGTAAGATGTGTAGACACCTACCTATTTCATTAATTCTACTAACTTAGAATTCTATCGATGAACCTTAACATATCTCATGGTCGTAATTCTTTATTACTGCTGCGACAATAGTCTTCGTTGCGACAATAACCACATAGGTCTAGGTGGGAGATTCGAGACGTTTATTTTGTCATTCTTACTCATAAAATAACCGTCCTACATATTACCGTCCGGCAACACTAGGACAGGCATATACAGTATGTGTGTCTGTATATATACTGTCTCTTATACACATCTAGATGTGTATAAGAGACAGGCGTATGCCTATTGGCGTTTATTGGTTGATGGTTATATTTTCAAACATGAATAGATGGGAGGCAGGAAATTATGCCATAAACGCATCGTAGATATTTGACATTAAAGAGGTACCGGTAACATAATTAATTAGGCCTATCAAGTTTAGTAACCGGTTATTTTGGTGTTACTTGAATCCTTACTGACATTATTATAATAGACATGTTCAAAATAGGCTACGTTCATAAACTTATACATCTCATCAGGCCTAAGCGTATCCACAAATAGTACAGTAGCTTTAGGCCTACTAAGATAATAAATGCCATGGTTGTTTACTAAGAACATAAATACAATAAAACTAGATATCTGTGGGAGGTGGTTGTCACGTGACCCATCGTAGTTCAACCATTGTACAGTATTAAAAACGCGATTTGACAACCAACATTATGACCATAACAAAACATATATCTTTTATAAAGGTTAATGACATTTGCATATTGTGTTTATGACATTATGACCATAAGAAAACATATATCTTATATAGAGGTTAATGACATTTGCATATTGTGTTCATGTAGGTTGTTTGCTGCGTGGTTGATACAACTGTATCCAAGCAACCATTGCGTCCTTGGTGCATTGTAGGCTACTTATGTGGCCAAGAACGTCCATAAAGTCCATTATAATTGTTTTGTTTCCTTCGTTGCAATGTCATTATTCCATGTATTGTATAATCATTACTTCATGCTATAACCACTTATTGTCGAGGTAAATCCCGATTGATCAATCGCGGCGATTAATTAAACAATTAAGTTTGTGGTATGTCAACAATTTACGTTTCAAATTTGTATTTGTCTTGTTGCTTTACTTCAATAATAACTTCAAGTAGAAGTGACGTTTCTGCGATAACTGTGGCCTATAGAAATGGAAGGGAAGTGCTGAAACTTCAAAGTTATACTTGAGAGCTTAGGGAAATAATAATAATAATAATAATAATAATAATAATAATAATAATAATAATAATAATAATAATAATAATAATAATAATAGGCCTAATATTATAATGATGATGATGATAATAATAATAATAGTAACATAATGTTCATAATCATAATGACGATGACAATATTAATGATAATTAATAATTATAGGAGTGATGTTTACCCTACTTGACGTGTGTTCATACCGAATACTCAGTACGTCCGCACAAAAAATTTCGCAAGTGATTCTGGAGGGAATAGAACCCACGACCTCCAGATAAATAGCCTGGCGCCATAAGCACTAGACTACCGAGCTTGCGCCTAGTTAATAGTGTTGAATCCGATCCACAGTGGGTACTGCAAATGCCATTTCGATGTGAGTTTGCGTCAGGAAAATATCATAAGGAGTGATGTTTTTCCCTACCTGACGTGTGTTCGTGCCAAATACTCAGTACGTCCCCAAATACTTGCAAACAAATTCTGGAGGTCGTGGGTTCGATTCCCACCCGAACCACATGCGAATTTTTGTTCACAAGTATTTGGGGACGTACTGAGCATTCGGTACGAACACCCGTAGGTAGGGCAAAACATCATTCCTGTGATATTTTCCTGACGCAAAATTAAATCGGAATTAATAACTGCTAATAATAACAATAATAATAATAATGACGTTGACAATATTGGCAATATGAATGATTCTATCTATATTAATTATCATTTTTCATTTCACCAGTACACTCACCAATTAGAAAATGAAAATTTATGCTCGACAAAGTAGATGTTTTTAGTCGTCAGAAAATGCTTATAATACAGTGTTTCACACGAAACAATGCAATGGACCTCGAATCTACTACAAGTCATTTTGCAATTTATGTTTGTCCTTTTTCTTGTTGATTTCTTGTAACTGTTTGTGTTTGATGATTGCAATAAAGAGATTACAGAAAAAGAAAGAAAACAAAGAAAGATTTTAATCCTGGACCTGTTTGTATCTTAAGCGCCATGGTTAGGGCCTACCTTTCCACTCCGGTTCTATGGAATCAGAGCTACTGTATTATATAGTACTTACGATAATAAACACAAAAACAGAAAGGGAAACAATGAGAGATCTTTGGCCACTAGTACATGACCTTATCGGTAAATGAACGCTATGTCATAGTAAAGTATCACAAAACCGACGAAGCACTTTCATTTTGTTCCTAGTTGTACATTCAAACACAAGTACCGGCTACCGACACACTGCAGACCTGAATGATGTTAGATATCGTATACTGTAGACCCTATATCTCATTATGATGATACTAATAGAATGGAAGACCCTGCTAAAAAATGCAGCAAGAGAGAATACAGAAAATACAGAGGTACAAACCTGAATGAATGTCGACACCGGGATTGATTTGGGTGGGAGTGGGGAAAAGTTAAGTCGGGCTCAGTGATTAGGTGAGGGGCGTTAGCTGGTATAAAATAAGGTGACTACTTAAGAGTAATTTTCTTGCCCAGCAATTTTCCATTGCTACGTGGAGGAGAAAGCTTTTTTTGCTGGGGAGCGTTCACCAACATGCACCCCACCTACTATAGAAACACCGCCCTGGAACCACTAAGGGTTTTGGAAGGCTTTTCAGCCGCATTACAGCTGTAGGCCTACTTGATTTGTATATAGGCCTCTGTATATATAGGCCCCTGATACAGGAAACAATTCTCGTACTATAAGGATTTTGATAGGAATTCTTAACACATAGTATCGTGTTTATTCTTGTTGCGGAAAGGGATGCTGTTAAGGTGTCGATTTACTGTACAGTATAAAATTTTTTGCAGAAGACAAAAAGGAAAATAATTATTACTCAGGATGTTCTTTATATTGTATTACGTCATACACATAAATTACTCTGTGTTTCTGAAAATGTTAATATTCTGAGCCCGTCGTGTGATTAAGTACAGTTCACGCAAAACGCATAGCCTACTTTATATGCGCCCGCTGACGAATTAACAATGTGCGGCATAATTACGCGCAAGAGAATAACGCATAATATGTGGCAATGTCACTTAACCTTAGTAGATACAGTTGATTTACCCCGTTCAAAAGCACTTTATCTAATTTGTTTGTTTTCTCTTCATTCCCTCAGAAATGAACTCCATAGTTAGCTTCTTTTAATTCAATAAGCCTCTCAAACCAAGGCCCTTGTTACCTTGGTGTGAGAATGCTTAACAACCTCTACCGGAAGCACCGTCATGGGAATATATTTAAGCAAGCGTAATGTACATATTAGGTATATTTTAAGCCTTGTAGTTTGTTAATACAATTGATTAGATTATAATGAACACTGGGTCGAAGGTGACCTGATTGTATAAATGGTTCTCAAGTGTTTTAATTATTTCAAAACAATATCACCAGGGCCCAGGTTTTACCAGTTTAGAAGGTCAAACTATTTTTTAATCTTCAATTCCCACTAGCTAGGAAAGGTAATATCATTAAAATTATACTTCCACAAATAAAAAATAAAAAATAATAAAAAAAAAAAAACAACAACAAAAAAAAACATAAAAACCTTTAATTTATTCTTTGAAAATAATTACATAGGCCTAGTTACCAATTTTTAATATGTCTAAGGTTTGAATAAACAATCTGTTTCCAAACGTTTCCTATATCCTGAAAGACATTTATAGACTGATGAGTGGTAGGACTACAGGTATTCTATAAACGTCCGTTAAATGGCGAAATCCAACTACCAAAATCCAAAATAAGGTACAGAAGAGGGTGTACCTTATAGATCTCTGACCGTTTTATCACGTGCGACATTAGGGCTATATCAAAGCTGTGACGTCAGACACGTTTAAAATAATTACAATGATTAAGAATTTACTGGCGTTTGAATTCACCACAGCGCCTTAGTGGTCAAATGGTTGTGGCGTCCGGTGAATGCTGAATTTTTCCTTTTACTCATTGTCAGATCTCAATGAATGTCCTATAAATAAAGAAATTGTGTAATAAAATGCCTCTGACAGGATTCGGACCTGCGACCTCTCGCTGCCAAATCGAGCGTCATAACCATTAGATCACAGAGGCCTTATGGTTGAACAGATTCAAATAACGTCAGACACATTCTATTACACAATAGGTACGGCTGGTAACAAATAATAGCATATATATAAACTATAAAGGCATATATATATACATATTATATATATATATATATATATATATATATATCTGTTCCCGCCAAGGGCTCCAACAGCTGTCTCTTATACACATCTAGATGTGTATAAGAGACAGGTCTTATCCAGACTGGAGAAGTAGTCTTGCGTTGAGTGTCTAAAGATTGTCACCGACACGTTGACAATAAACAAATGGTTCAACGCATACGTGTTAGACTTGTCCACGCTGGATACCAGAAACTCGTTCATATTACACGCACACAGTCCAATAAACAATCACGTTACGTTACATTCAATTGGAAGTATTGGTAATTGCACCTTTAAAGAGGATTTTGTGGAAGCATCGGACACTACAGTATTAAGATGCTTTGTAGACAAGTGTTGATCAATATTGTAACTAAGGAAGCTATTTTTGCGAATGTGATAGAGGGGACCTGGAATGTCGAATATTTAACACAAAGGTGTTACTCTATAGTCTGACAGAGGTACCAATTACCATTCATCATATGCGTCTTACACTGTTTACTCGAGACTATCTTTTTCAATATAATCATGTCCTCGCCGTGTTGATGTTGTTGATTTTGTTTTTCAGACAAATTCATTATAAGCCTTTCGTGTTTTGCACGTTGGATTATCGTTGACTGGTACGTGACCGGAAAAAATGTTATTTCGCAGATAAATGAATTACGGCACAGAATGATTAGTAAAACCTTATTCGAGCTGTGACGTTTGCGGCTTAGCGGATATGAATTACGATAGGAGTACTTGTCTGGTCCAATGCATTCCGTTTTGTAGTTGGCAATATCTGTATATAGGCCGAAGGTAATTTTATTAATGTATAAGGCCTATTTGATGCAAGGCCAATTCACTTCGAAGCATTAACATGAATGTGACAAACCCAAATACGCTGATACTCACTGACCCGGCACTCGCATCACCAGCACCCTCAGGATCACTGCAGAACATAGTAATCGGAGTGCTGTGCGTTATCGCTATTCTTATCGTCATATCTGGAAACTTCCTCGTCGTCGCATCCGTCGTATCGTTCCGTCGATTGCGCACGCCATCGAACTTGCTGTTGGTGAACCTGGCAGTAGCGGACATTACTGTGGCCGTGTTTGTTATGACGTTTTCCACCGCCCGTATTCTGTATAATAATGACTGGATATTCGGAAACTTTGTCTGTCTAATGTGGATGTCCTTTGATGTTCTATGTTGCACGGCGTCTATTTTGAATATGTGTATGATATCCATGGATAAGTATCTAGCTATTACACGGCCCTTGAGGTACATGAGGATCATGACAAAGCGACGTGTGGCCGTGATGATTGCAGTTGTGTGGTTGTTGTCCGGACTAGTGTCGTTCGTACCAATATTTAGTGGACTCTACGGCGGAAATCCGGACGGACGCGATTCGAACAAGTGCAGCGTGAATTTCGCCGTTACACCAACATTCGCAATAATATCTTCCATGACGTCATTTTATGTACCGCTCGCAATTATGGTCTTCACGTATTGTAAAATATACAGAATAGCGCGTGATCAGGCGTCGCGTATTTTACGCGAAAGTGGCAACTATGGAAAAATTGGTAACGGGACATCAAAGAGGGGCTTCAGAACATTTTCCAGCGAATTCAAAGCCGTTCGTACGCTGGGTGTCATTATGGGTGGGTTTATATTCTGCTGGCTTCCATTTTTCTTAATGTACATAATTATCAACTTTTGTGGCTGCCAACATAAAGTTCCGAACGCAGTAGATGGCGGGGTCACGTGGTTAGGTTATATTAATAGTATGATGAATCCATTTATCTATAATTTCCGACATAAAGAATTCAAAATGGCATTTCGAAGAATTGTCGTATGCGCAAGATGTCGCAAAGTTGACAGGCGACTGTACAGCGTGCAATCGCGCCAAAATTCTTCTGCAGATACGTATAGGAAATGTTTACAAACTGAAATCGGAGATGAAATTCAAAACGGAACAGTGAACAAGTCTGATCAGAACAGCAATCATAAGTCTATGAAACTTTCTCCAATTATCGAGCAATGCAACACTGAACCAGAGAAACATTTTGATAGTTTATCTGAAGAGTCTGAAAGCGTATGATAATGTTTGGCATTTTGTGTGAACACCAATTATTTAATCATGAAGGTACATTTGTATATCATAGTATCCGCAGGCTTTATTTAAAAGTAAAATGGTCCTATCCGATATATATTATTTTATTTTAATATTTTAATGATATAACTTTACTTTTCTAACTTACAATTATTTTCTACAATTTGTAAATTTATTAATGAATCGATTAAATGTTTCAGGAAATGTATATTTATAGAGGTTGATTTTGTCTGATTCCCACTATTATTATTTGGATTTTGACGCAACAGAAGCAAAGCTACGTCTACGCCAGCCACACGGTCGATTTTAAAACGCAAATTAAAATTACATTCACTGAGGCAAACGCATACATTTGTATACGTATAGAATGGGCCCCATGTCTACACTTCAATATCAGTCATTATACACAATATCATTGATTGGACTATACAAAATATATAGTAATTTATAAACGTATTTGGTTCAGATTTGGTTATATAGTTGAACATCTAAATTACTAGAATGAGCTCCACAGGGGGATTTTGGCAGCTCCCTGACCCCAGCCTTAGTGGGTTAATTTAAACCAATGGCACCCCTCCACAAATTTTGAATCCTCGCTATTGCTGTAATGTAATATTCATACTGTAGTAGCTGAATACGAAGTGCTACATTTAATTTCAGATCTAATTGCTAAAAACTGAGCAGAACCTTAAATAATTTAATAGTGGTCACGTGGTGGCAAAATTACTTTCTCGGGGGAGGGGGAATTGATGAACGCGACAGGGACATAAATGGGCCAAAACAACCCAGAACCCCCCGACAATTTATTGATTTGAAAGGTTTATTAAATCAATTTGTCTCACATTCTGTAAAATTTACATAGAATTCCTTTTCTCCAGCACAGAGAGGGGGAAGCTGTTACAATGGCCCATTGGTGTCGCCATTGTGACACATTGAGACGCATACACAAAACAATGAAATCATCCAATCTGTAAAAATGAAGTACTTTATTAAATTATCCGTTTTCTTCATTAATGCCTTAACGCATCATTATGTAACCAGTAATAATGGAGACTTCCATTTGTGAAGTAACAAAAGCAAAGAATTTGAAATGCATATGCAGGTCTCTCCAATTAAAGCCCACTTTTGGGACTGGAGTTTTCAGCGTCTCTAGCAGCCTTGGTCTTTCCTTTGAAAAATTATTATAATAAAATTAAAAGACAAACACTCAAATTGGGGTCGCAAAAACATGGTCTTTATATTAGAGGTGGTCTTTAATTGGAGGTGGTGATCTTTAATTGGAGGTGGTCAATTATTGGAGGGGGCTTTGATTGGTGGGATTGTTAATTAGAGGAGATGTGTATCTGCATTTTTAATAAAGTCGGATTACTCCAATTACTCGTAGAAGCGGTTGTCGCAACGGTTGTGGCTCTGACTCTCAACCTTGAGGTCAGGGGTTCGAAACTCTCGCTGTGCAAGTTGCTTGTGTCCTTAGGCAAGACACTTTATCTACGTATGTCTCTCTCCACCTAGGTGTTTAATTGGGTACTGGCATATGCTGGGAAGGTAAAACAGACTGCAATGCAGGAGGAGTGGTGAACCCCCCACAGCCTTGCACAGTCTGGCCCAAATGCTAAAGTAAGAGAGACGGGCACTCCAGTCTGCTTCAGGTTTTGAACCTTTACCTTACTCCAATATAGTAAAAAGTTAAGTGGTTTTCAAATGGCCAAATTAATATCATTTCATTTTGTTAAAAATATGAATAAATCATACTCATCCAACCTTGCTAATATTAATTTAAAAAAAAAAAAGAAGAAAACAGAGGCCTTTAGCACTGCTCAGATATTTAAAATGGATGTGAGCATATAATCACAAATTGTGTTAAATTGTATCTTCACTGCTTATCAATTGTACCAACTTTTAGTAAGGTTACTACTTTTGTGAAGTAATCACTACTTTTGTGAAGTTGGTGATTTTGGTATGGTAAGTGTAACATTTATCCAATATCCATTATAATATTCTGTCTTGTGTTAATCCGGTAAGGAAATGGACATTGGAAGGCAGACATTTTGACCACTAGGCCAGAACTCCATTCCACATGATATGTCTAGAGCTTCCCTTCCTGCGTCAAGTTGTATTGCAGGGCTTATTCTTATTTGCCTTCATATATGCTCAATATTTAATATGTCAGTTCACCATATATTATAATCATTAAAAAGCATCTTGGTGTTGAAATGTACTCAATTACATGTCCAACAACCAACATTTAATGACATTCTCCGGTTGCATATAATTACAATACCAGTTAAATAAAATTAAATTGTCTTGTCCTTCGGTTGTTGTTAACTCATCAACGTCATCATACGTAATCAGCCACAACTGAGCAATAGAATTGATAACATACGATCGTAATGTAATGATGTAAGTTTATCTGCAACGAATGAAGTGGAAAATGTCAGAGAATCTATTAGTTCCATCAATCTATATACGGGAAGATCATAATCGCATTTTCTTGCATTCTGTTAGCTTCCTCAGCTGTTTTTGTTAGGTGCTTGTTCTTTTGGCTTTGAAGATCTTGCAAATTGCTAATGCTTTCATTAAGGATAAGAGGTCATATTCATATAAAAAGAAGTAAATATGAGCATGAAGGGCAGTGCTTTTTGTGCTTGGTAATCATTATTTATGGCTTTGGATCATAAGTGAAGATCATTTTTCTCTCTTTCTCAAATTACTACATTAGCAGTGGTTTTAAAGTCAACTGTTAATCAGTCAATAACAGCCACATGTTCATGACATGGAATGGGGTATCATACTGGGTTACACGATGGTAAGTACGATGATGACAATACTAATGCTACTAATGCCACTATTTTCCATTGGTGGATTCAAAGGGGAGAGGGGTCAAGTTGGCCTGCACCCCCACCCCTAGGTGCCATAATCATAAATTTTCTTATTTCAACACCAACCATGGTGGGGCTGAGTTGGTCTAGACACTCTGTGAAAGTCCCCCGGGCCCCCTCTATTTCAAATACCTGGATTCACCACTGCTTCATCAGCACCACCAACATTACAGTACACCTGCTTATGAGAACCTAGTGGATTAAGGACCTACAGGATTAAATTAGTAAATTAAACCCCATTTTGAGCACTGTATTACTTAAAACAGCTCCTCACCATCATCATCATAGCTATCAACATCACCTTTATCATTATCACATTTTTGTCATCACTTGTAGTGTTAAAGGATACCACCACCATCGGTTTACTCTGTAGTAAGTAGCCGTTGGTGTCTCGGAGCGCTTTTTTTGCTGCAAATTCACTTGGTAAGCTCACAAAAGCCTGGCCTTTCATCCGTCCTTGTGTCATCAACTGAATTGAAAACCTACGGAAACATCCACAAGGAAAAAGTAGTATATAATTATAAGCCTTTTATTCATATCAGTTTTTGTTTGTAGAACCCAAGCTACTTATTTATAAGCATAGTTGAAAACAAAATGAATATATATAGTATATTTATTCTCCTTAAAGCTTGGTTTCCATAAAAATCGCTACACAGTCGCTACAGCGTACTCACTGCAATCATTGCACTGCGTAGCTGTCTCTGACACAATCGGGAACGCTCTCTGATTCAACTGACCAATCAGCATCGCCAAAGAAGTCAGCGAGAGTGTGTAGCGATTTTGATGGACATCAGGCTTAAATATATAATTTGTGTAACCCAAGATTTAAAGTTTTGTTTTCTATTATCAATTTTGTTTATCCAATGCCTCTAGGTTGGGAGGGGAGGGCAGTAGAGGTTGGGGTGTAGGGTTGGAGTGGAAGAGCTGTGTTTCCCTTCCCAGACTGAATTACCCAATGATATTCACTGATGAACAATTTCTGAGATTAATGCAAATTCCTTACATGTCCTGATCCATTTTGGATTCCCAGTCAACATATCGTCCGTAGATAAACTTCAAGTCCTTTTGTTCGCACTGCTTGCTGAGGTTCTTGATGTACAGCCTTGTAGTAGGCTCTCCTGGGTTGTACCTCTTAAACACTGACATACTTTCCATCTCTGCAAATACATAAAGTAAATTATTTTGTATGCATTCATTAGAAGAGAATATGAAAGAGTCACTTAACTGGATAACAATTTCTTTCTCCTTTGTCCCTGAATCTTATCAGTGAAATATAGTCCTATTGATACCCAAAATATGATAGTAAAACTGTCAAACATGGTATTAATTTTTTATGTTTAAAAATTATCTAAAAAGTTACTCAAACAAAAGCTGGAGTGACAGAAAACAAATTTATACATGGTGCTGGAGAACACAAATGTCAATCAACCAATGCTCCCTCTGGACAGAAAACCAAAAACACATCGTAAAATGCTTTATTTTCTTTTAAATTATTTATTCATTTTACCTTTAGATGATACTCTGTTCTTCCTCAGTTGCCTGGAGGTGATAAATTCTTTGATTTCATCATCTTCATCCTCATCTTCATCACTTGATTCATCCTCTGACTGCTTGCCTTCTGGTTGTTTTGCCGGAGCCTGCAGCACTCCAAACCCCACAGATGTCTTATCATCTCCAGGTGCCTGCACAGTTTCTTTTTTGAATAAATAAAATAACAAGTTATCAAAAAGTCATGGGCAGTGGCATATCTGGAAAGGTGCCTGGGGGAGTGCATGCCCTCCCCCACTAGAACTGTTCAAAACCAAAAAATTACACTCAATTAGTTATAGTCACCTTATATATTCCTGATTTTGCGAGAGAACACCCCCTAACTTAATCAACAAGCCTCCCAGTTCAGCTTCACAACCCCCCTCCCCAACCACCATTTGAAGTCTCTTAAGTACGCCACTGGTCATGAGACAGTAACCCACACAAGTCAGAGACTCATTTCTAGTGGGGTCCTTCTGGTACTGAATTGGGCAGTACACACTGAGGGACAATTCTCTACTCCTTCCAACAAGTGTATGTGCATTCTTTCACATGCACATCGGTTTCCATGGCTTAAATAATAGTTCGCTCTATAGCTTGCATTTCAACCATCTAACTGAAACACAAGGAAAGCATTGATGGAATTTAACCTTTAACCTTCTAAGCTTGTCTCTACACTAAAGGTCTGAAAGAATCATTATGCTCACTGCCTACCACCAGTTTAGCTTCATTCACAGAGTGAAGGCAGAATAATTGAAATCACCTGGTTTATTTGCATGAGCTTCCAGTATATCAGACAAGGTTTGCGGAAGTTTCATCTCAAGTTTCTTAATGCCAGTTTGCAGCTGTTGATCAAAGACATCTTTAGGCTTGGCTACAGCAGCACTGGAACCAGTTAAGGACTTCAAAATGCCAGCAGAGGGTGCTTGCAGCTTCATTTTCTTAGCTTTAGGCCGGTCTACACTGCTGACTGATAGCCTTAAAGCTCTTCTATCTACGCAGCCATGTGTCTACTGTACCGAACTAACTCACTATTATTTCATCTATAATTTCCTTTGCAGATGTTTTCGTCTCATTTGCCTAAGCATGCTTGAAAATGCACTTACCCTAAGCTACTGGCTGCACTCATTATCTCTCCCGGCTATGTTATTACAATCAGCCTTTCGGTCTACACTGCTGACTGATAGCCGTAAAGCTCTTCTATCTACGCAGCCATGTGTCCATTGCACCAAACTAACTCACTATTATTTCATCTATAATTTCCTTTGCAGATGTTTTCGTCTCATTTGCCTTAGCATGCTTGAAAATGCACTTACCCTAAGCTACTGGCTGCACTCATTATCTCTCCCGGCTATGTTATTACAATCAGCCTTTCTGTCTACACTGCTGACTGATAGCCTTAAAGCTCTTCTATTTACGCAGCCATGTGTCTACTGTACCGAACTAACTCACTATTATTTCATCTATAATTTCCTTTGCAGATGTTTTCGTCTCATTTGCCTAAGCATGCTTGAAAATGCACTTACCCTAAGCTACTGGCTGCACTCATTATCTGTCCCTTCAGTTTTCTACTCTTCTCTTTTGCAATTTGTTCAGCATCCTTTTTGTTTTTTTCTTGCCTTTGGGGTTCATCATCAGTGGTTCTATATTGTGAAGTACAAATTAAACAAGAATTGGTGAAATATTGAATTTGAATTTACTATCATCATAGAAAGAATAAACAGACCAAATACAAATAACCTCTTAGGAAAAGCTACGAGGCAATTTACAAAACAACATCAAAATTCCCCAGCTACAACCCAACAGACAAGCAGCATCACAATCCCCCAGCTACAACCCAACACACAGGCAGCATCACAATCCACCGGCTACAACCCAACACACAGGCAGCATCACAATCCCCTGGCTACAACCCAACACACAGGCAGCATCACAATCCCCCGGCTACAACCCAACACATAGGCAGCATCTGATGGCAGACAACCATCATCATTCAATTACAAGACATACAAAATATCAGAATACAAAATCATGTATTACTTTGGAATTTCAATTGTAGGCCCAGCAGCCATGTCCTTCTGTTGTTGTGTCCTGGCAAACTCTACCACCAGTGTATGTCCCATAACCTTCAATTGATGCAGTCTACCTAGAGCCTAAAAATAACTGAACTGATTAGCACATCATCTGGGTGATAAGCTTGTATGAAGTCATAGGCATGGGCTTATGTAGTCGAGAGAAATACATAGGTGGTGGACTGATTCCATTAGAAGAAATGGTTAATGTAACGTCTGGTGGGTTGATGAAGAATATAGCTGGTGACTGATGTAGTGGAGTACTGGTGAGCTCTGATGTAGTGGAGAACTGGTTAATTGAGGTAGTAAAGGGCTAATGGCTGATGTAACTGGAGGCTAGTGGGCTATCAGAGGGCTAATGGCTGACGTAGTACTAGCAGAGGCCTTGTGACTGATGTATTAGAAAGCTATTAGCTGATCACCTTTTTGCTGTTATTTGATACAAGAAGGAGGCAGTGAGCTATATGCACAGTTTAAATCTACTATCAACAATTGACCTTCTCACACTCACTTGCTTACCTTAGCTGCTGACTCTTCGTCACTAAAGGTTGCAAATGCAGCATGTTTCTGCAAATTAAATAAAAAAATAAAAACAAATGCTGAATAGATCATGTGTAACCCCCACCAATGCTTGTTAAAAATCAGGGTACACAAGAAGTAAAGTCTGCAAAAAAATGGTGTAAGACTTCTGTTGGCACATTCTGTAAAAATCAATTTTAAGCAATTTAGATAGTATTTTATTTATGTTTAATTGTCATTATGGTGAAATATAAATCATTTGTGATATTTACCAAACGCCCTCTATTGGCCATGCACTTCACACTAGTTGCTCCAAAATGTTGTAAGAGACTCTGTTTTTCGGAGGCAGAAAGTTCATTTGGAAGGTGACGAACAAGCAAGACATTGCTCTGCTGATTTCCTGGAGCACCCATCAAGAAACTATCTTTACAACATGAGAAAAAAAAGTTACGTCATAAAATATCAGAAATTTATATACTGTATCAATAAAGCATAGATTAGCTTTGGTAGGCAGATAGCTTGTTGAAACTTGGATTGGGAACATCAATTTTGAGAAAAACTGTTAATCATTATCAAATACTGCTGGTTTGTCTGCTTCAGTAAATTAGAGAGGTGTAGTGTCTGAGCGAGTTTTGAGCATGGGAATTTATTCTGGTTAAAAATCCCAAACGAATTGTGCTAAATCGATTTAAAACCGGAGAAAAGTGATGTGAGTTGGTTGATAATACAATTTTTGTGGGCTTAAGGATATATTATATAGGGAATCCATTATATACAATGATAGTGGTGGATTCATGGGGACCCCACCCCCTAAAAAGAAAACTATACTCAAATTTTTAAGTGTCATCATCCTGGCCATATTATGTAAAGTTTTTAATTAGGTGGATGATAGTGATACCTCAATCAAAAACCAGCTTCATTTTTTTGTGCCTAAAAATCAATATTTTTGCACAGCGTGTTAATTCCCCACGCAGGCCTTACTTTACAGCTAAAATCCTCCTTGTATATATAGTCTCCTACGCCTATATCTATATATTAATAATCATTACAATGTTCGGTTGAACAAACACACAGAGACAAGGCTATCTGCTAAGTCTGCTTAGCTAGGCCTACTACTATCTGGCAAAACAATACACAAACAAGCCTGCATGCAAGCCATGCCTAGCTAGCTAGCCTAGGGCCTAAAGTCAGGGCCTAACCTAAATCAAAACTTTATAACATAACTTAGGATGGCCCATCGTCATACATAGATGGATATCCAATACGTACCAACCCCAAATTTACCACTTTTAAGCTTTTTACAGTTAAAAAATAGTACGATATTAAATTCTCAGCTTCCCTTTCGTACTGAAGTACTGCATGTGTTTAGTGTTTGTCGCCCTCTTTGGGTAAGTAGTTATTTTCTTTTCTTCTGCTAGAGGGTGTTATAACAATAACAAATGAACAGATGAAAATAAAGCAAAACGAAAGTGAAGTTTTGCTGACCTCAACAGTTTACGGATTTTATTCAGCTTAGAATGGCAGTAAGTAGTATATATACTTAATTATAAATGAAAATATATATCGATAAACATAACATGATAAAAAAAAAAAAACACCAGTGTTTTGTTTTTTTTGTTTTTTTTTGTATAGGCCCTAGCCTAGTATACCAAAATAGGCCTAGGCATATGTATGCCGACTTGTTGTTGGGCGGTAGCCAGGCCTATCCGCTGTTGGATCTAGGCCTAGGCTGCCTAACTAAGCCTAGGCTTAGGCTGGGGACTGGACAGGCCTATACTGAATGACCATCAGTGCAATACATACAGCAAGGCAGCCCTAGCCTACAAAAGCCTGGGCATCTGTAGCCACACTCGACTACTCGTGTAGTAATGTATGTAGCCAGGTATATGGCACTGTCCATTGTGGCAGCCACATCATTGTTTTTTAAAACTCTCTCTTTAGACCTACCTAGCTAGAGAGTAGGTCCTAGTAGCATATTTTCTAAAACAGTTTTTCGGATTACTTTCTTTTTGCAGGCCGTATTGGATCATGTTCTTTGTGCTCAGCTAGCAGAAGCTGTAGAACATTTAACAACCTCTGGACAACCTTCTCTAGATAAAGGCAAATTAAAGGAGATCAAGAATATATGCAGGTAGTGAAATATCCAAATGAAGGACTAGCTAATGCTATGCTGGTTATAAACATAGGCCTACTGTAGAAAAGTAATTGAAATATAGATTGTTGGGTTTTTCAATTTATAATGTGCAATACACAATAACCGATAGTGTTATATAGGCCTAGTGTTAAGGATTAATAGTTAATACATGATTCAATTGAAAATCTTTGAACTGAACACACCTTGTTACGGTACACCTCTGGAGAATTGTGATCACCTATTCTTTGGCACTATGTAAAAAGCCTGAATTGTATGTAGTATTGGGTATTTATAATTACAGTATATACTGTATGTGTATAATTTAGAACATATGAGATTGTGTATTCAAATCTGTCATTCTTCTTTATATCTTCCAGAACATCAGATGCATTTGTTGGTCAATTATTTCATTTAGTGATGACACAGCTAAGAATGGACCATGCAGAAATACGGTTATCTGCTTTCCAGATCATCCAAGAGATATTTGCACGATCTCATCATTTCCGAGAATTACTTGTTTCCGATTTTCAAGAATTTCTAGAACTTACATCAGAGATGTGTCTAGAGATGCCTTTACCTCCACCAAAGGCAGCTGCCAATCTCCTGAAGGAACAGACCCTTAAGACAGTTCAGAACTGGTATGAGAAATTTGGGCAAAGCTATAAAAAACTTGCTCTAGGTTACAACTATCTGAAACATGTTAAAAGGGTAAGTTTTTTAATCACAGTAGTCAAGTTTCTAACTACCAGTACACTTCTTAGGTTTTTGTGAGACTGCAGAATTATCACAAGTTGGGAATTGTGAAAGAGCATTAGTTTTTTTGTTTGTTTATTTTTATTGCTTTTACCACACACATATAGAATATAAATTAATTAATGGTAAACATTATAATTAAAATTAAAATTTCTAAACAAGTCAGAGAGAAAAAACTGTGCAGTAGGAGGTAAAAATATGTTTTAGCTAGAAAAATTGTTTAATCTGATGGCATTGAAAAGTATTGTGAAAGATTTAATTGCTTTTTCTTGTGATTTGAATTTAGGTGGACTTTAATAACATACAAGCAGCCACTTTGGCCGAACAACAGAGAGAGGCTGCAAGAAAAAAGAAGATGGAAATAGCTTTACAAGAAAAAATGAACGTTACTGTTAATGAAATTCATGGTAAGGACTCTGACAGCTGTGGTGAAACAGAGAATGTTGAAGCCTGTGAGATGTTTGTGGTGGTGCAGCCTGAGAGAGATGTGGTGACTCAGCCTGTAAGAGCTGTGGTGGCATAGCCAGTAAAAGAGTGTTAGTGCAGTCTGTCAGAGCTTAGGTGGCACAGGCTGTAGTAGTTCAGTGTGTGAGAGTTCAAGTGGCACAACCTGTAAAAACTGTAATGCCTCAGCCTTTGAAAGAGTGGAGGTACATCCCTGAGAACTGTGTCGGCCCAGCCTGTGTATGCTTGTACTGTAGTTTCGCTCTGTCAGAGAGTGGTTGTGCATACAAGCAGCATATAGATTATTCTGGTTAGTAAATGATGGCAATATGGACTGATGTTATAATATTTTTCTTTTGAAATTTTCAATTTTTACTAGATACATTGCCAGACATGCAACGATCGCTAACAGAATTAGAAAACTGTCTTCAGCTGCTACTCCCATCCCCTGATACCTTTGACCACAATGAAGACACAGTGGATGAGAGATGTTCGTCACAGGCATCCTCAAACACAGATAACTTGCCTTCATCACAGAATTCTGCAACGAGTGAGGGCGGTGTTGAAAGTGGTAGCTGTGAGTCTAGCCAGGAGCAAGGTGACAGTTTTCTTCAGGACCATGGATTGACGTCATGGAATTATAATATTAGCATTGAACTGAACCAAGGTGTGTTTGTCACCTTCTTCTATAGCATTGTATCAATGTATTGCAACATTTTGTGCATATGCTCAGTGCAGGACAGCTATGCATAATTTATAGATATATAATATTGGAGAGGTTTATTTTTTTAATTAAATGCTGTTTGTTAGGAAATTTATTAGAAATTAAAAAGCTTAAAATGCTTTGGAATTACTTGATCTTTATTAGTTTGTGTAGGTGCCTATCACATTAATATCACTTTAGAAGATTATTGGTTGATTGACTAATTAATTAATTAATTAATTGTTTGATTTATTTGATTGATGGATTTGATTAATTGATGAGTTAATTGATTGATTGATCTATTGATTGCATGATTGACTGTGGGTTTTTATCATGAACTAGTTAATTCTATTGTTAGTTTCTTTCCTGAATAAGATCTGGATTTTTTGAGTGGAGTCATAAAATATAAAATGAATAATATTTTTAAATAATCTATAAATTTAATTTACTGTATTTGTATTGGAAACTATTAAACTTTTACCCTTCTATTCAAAGACAGTTTTGTATTAAATATATTGTATTTTCTACATTATTATATTTTATATAGATTCCATAAATATTGAGGAAGATGATAACAACACAGACATTATAACAACAATTGATGACGTGCAGAGGCTCCTAAGTAAGACTTGCATTCCCAAAATAGTGAAGTGGATGGAGGTAAGACAGTATGGCATACCTCTAGGCTTAGGGCTTTTCATAAAGGTTAAGGTAGGAGAATGACCCATGACTCGCAGCGTCGCTGCGCTGAAATGCATATTGGCATGGTCCACGACTGCCTAGCCGCAGTAAAGAGGCGCTTTTAGTAGCTTCGTGTTCACAGACATCATTCCACAGCGATGGTGGTTGAAATGGACCATAGCATCGGGGTAACTTTCTACTCGTCTAAAGGTGGGTTCTTTAAAGTGCACACAAGTCAGATGTGTATACTGTACCCATTTTAAGTCCATGTATGAGAAAACGTTTTTCTACCAACCAAACCCCGGGCTGTAGTAAACGATGCCCTTACTTCACCATTCGGCCACTAGAATCGACTCCATCAAAGTTTCACCCAATCCAGCTGGTTACTATGTTTATATCCTTAGTGAATGCCCTAAATCTACTCTTTGACTCTTCACTCATGAGCATAAATGGGTACCTGGTAGGAAGTGAATAATTTGGAAAGCATTTAGCTTTTGGTGATTAGGAATATATTTTGCAGTATCTAAAATATACAGTTTTCCCTCCAATTCAAGATCACTTTTAAGACCTGAAATTTGGTATGGTCTCAGGGTTCTGTTTCCACATGGAGGGTTAGATTAGTGTTAATAGATTAAAGATTGTTACTTGGTTCTTTTGGAAAAAGTGATCTTGAATAAGAGGGATCTCAGATTTAGAAGGGTCTCGAATTGGAAGGTGCGCTGAATGTAGATTTTGTCTAGTTAGTGAATACTTACATATGGATGAGCTGCTATATGGCAGTTTTGAAACTTGCCTTCATATTAATGGAATCATCCATTCAATTGAGTATTACGTAATAGTACCCATTAAATAAATATCAGCGCACTTTATTATACAGGTACTATCAAAGAGCGGTAAGGAGGAAGATAAGATAAAGAAATGTATTGATATGAAACAAAAGATACAGGCTTCGCTAGATAAGGTACAAAAACTGAATGTGAAGAGAAGGCTGAGAAAAGTGCCCTCACCAGTTGATGATGACGAAGATGACGATGATGAGTTTGAAGACGTCCCTGAAAAAGAAGGCTACGAACCACACATTCCTGACCACCTAAGAAAAGAATATGGTAATGTTGTTATTGTGTTAAATGCATATACACCTCCTTTATCTTTTGTCAGAAAATATGATATTTTCAGAGACACAACAAAGAGAAATTTGATTATTAAGATATTAGTGAATACTTCTTCAACTTTAGGTCTGGAACCATTACCTCCAGAGGACCAGGCATCGACATCGGTGTCTAAATGGAGTATTACACAGAACAAGAAAGACGACTTAATTGATCCAACAAGTAGGGCGGCAGCACTAGAGTCAGTCAAGAAAAGATTAGCTGCTCTCCAAAAATCAAAGTAAATATAGATTCTTGATTTGATTATTATTTTGTATTTTTGTTCTAATGAATTTGTACTTGCTGTCTGTCAATCGTTGAAAAATAATTTTACAAATTTCAAATCAATTACTAGCTTATTCTTATTCGTCACTGTCATAATACTGCAGTCATTGTCCCTGTCATCATCATCATAATCATCACTTTCATCCTCATCATAACTATCATTATCCTCATCATCATTATCCTTCTCATCATCATCATTTTCGTCATCATTATCCACATCATCGTTATCATCATTATCCTTATCATCATCATCATAGCCTCATCATCATCTTAATCCTCCTTCTCCACCTCATTGTCATCCTATGACAGGATATAGGGCAACCAAACAGAATATTAATTTGACCTGTACTCTTCAACAGTGGCAACACGTAACTGGAGTATGGCGGACTTGCCCCTACCCCTCATACTAAATTTATTGCTAAAAGTAATTTGCAAATCACCTCATCTCTGTCCCCTTCCCCATCCCATCTCCTGAATTTTGTTATGTTTGTTCTTTAAGATCTGTGAATCCGCCACCAGGAAACACTGTTGAAGGATTCAGTGGAAGCAAAACAAAGAGCGACGTGAACAGTCGGCGCGAGAAAGAGCTTGCAATAGCTCCAACGGTGCCCTATGACATGGATTTATACCACTGGGATCACTTGGATAACATGGAAGCACCCTCGATACAAAGGTACTTGGATTGTTGGTTGTAGCCAGAATTGTGCATTTAGTGTCCTTGTTCAGTATTTTTTATAGTCTTATTCAGTATTTTTTATAGTCTTATTCCTGTGGCTGTAGCTTTAGTCATACAATGCACAAAGGAATAGAAATGTGGAGTAGAGCGTCTCACCTCCATATGCGATGGCCATGAATCCTGCCCTACCAATGTTTGATCTCAGGACAGAGAATCCTAAGCTTCATAAAGACACTTGGTTATAAAGCAACTGTTGAAGCTGTTGGGCGAAATAAGTGTGGTTTTTTAGAAAATATGTGCTGTTAAAGATTCACAAAGCTCATGAAAAATCAAAAGCAAGACAGAATGTTTTTCTCTGTTAATAGTATCAAAAGGGGCACAAAAGCTATAAGCTTGAAATCAAGTTAGGTAGGTAGGTAGGTAGGTAGGTAGGTGGATATAAATGATGCCTGATGTGAGCTGTGAGCCTATTGTGTTTCAGTAGTATATTATTTATATTATGTCATATAGTTGATAATATATTTCCTAATTGTAGGTACGTAGGTGGATACAAATGATGGCTGATGGGAGCTGTGAGCCTATTGTGTTTGGCATTAGTATGTCATTTATATTATGTTATGTGGATGATAATATATTTCCTTATTGACCTTGTGTATTTTTTATTTCTCCATCATTAGACCTGATGCTGAGCATCGTTTCTGGAAGCCAGTTGATAATGAGGATGTTATTGTTATTGAGGTGAGTTTTAGTTCTTTTAAAAAATTGATGAAAGGAGCAGTATCGGAAGAGGAACAGTACCTTGTATGGTATAATGAACAGGGGCAGAATTAGTGGGTGGGGGCAGGTGGAAGGGGAAAAAAGAAAGAGATAAAGATAAATTGCTGATCGCTCAGAGGTTACTTCCGGGCGTTTAGAAAACAAACATTTCTTGGGACCCCCTAGGGTAGTGTTGTCTCTCGATCAGCCTCTCCCCACTTTCGGACATCTCTGGATCTGCCCCTGATGAAGTTTTATTTTATCATATTCTATGGAAATTTTGAGTCTGTAGAATTTTTTTGCAGAAAAAAAAAGAATCACTGAAGTGGCGCAGCATCAACTTCAGTGGGACCTTTGAACCTGTGAAGTGGTCTTGTAGGACCCCTCTACCCAATGGTAAATTATGCGAGCGTAGGGATCGTTTTAAGGTAATTTTTAATAGTTGGTTCTTTCCACTCTTAAAACTACGTTCACTTTTCTGTGACATATATCCCTATATATGAGTGCAATATGACATATATAGGCAAATAACACATATTTTATAGTTTTCCACATAGAATATAGTGTGGACCAACCTAAATACTTTGTATTAACATGATTGATCATATGATTAAATTTTACAAATTGTGTGGGCATCACCTCAAATTCTTTACTAGCTGAAGCAATAGCATTTTATCATTGTTGGTTCACAGTGTCCTTTTCATGGAAAGATAATTGCAAGAGATGGAGACGGGCGTCCGTCAGATCCAGAATGTAAAGAGCAGCCAGAGAGAAGCACTAACAAATGTAAGCATCATCATCATCAGTTAAAACATCATCATTATCATCATAAGCTCTCATTAACATCATGTGAATATTCCTACCTGCCTTACTGAAAGAATATCCAGGGGTGGTGCCCGACTGGGGGGCCGAGTTCCCCGACAGGGGGGGGGCCGATGCCCCGATGAGGGGTCAGATTTCCTCGACGAAAGCAAAGTGGGCGTGGTCGAGCTTCCATTAAAAGGTTTCAAAAGTGTTCCTTGTGGAGAAGCCCCCAAAAATTTTGACAATTTAGGGGTTTCAAAGGCTTATTTAATCGATTTTAGAGTCTACTAATATGTAGAAAATACATATAATTTGTTTTTCTCCCTGACAAATTGTCCTTTTTCTCCCCGACGGCGCCACCCCTGAAAGCATCGTGTGTTTTCCGATGTCTTGGAATTTTCTACAGTAATTACCTGATTTATATGAACATCTATTTTGCAGCCTCTAAAGGATTTTTTGACCAGGATCTGCAACGAGATATCGAAGCTGCCATTGGTCTTGATATGGGCTCATCCCAAGAAGTGACGGGAAAAGCAGGAAAAGGAAAGAGAAAAGGAAAAGGAAAAGGAAAGAAAGCAAAGTATCCAAATTTAACTAGCATTAAGAAACAAAGTACAGCTCAGACACGACTTGAGAAAAAAGTATTTAATCCGTAAGTATTATTTGCTTACACTATGCCACCATGAGTTTGAATAATTCCTTATAATTAGAATGTTTAATTGACTGATAATTGATTGATTTATTTATTGATGATTAATTGATGATGAATGATTGATGATTGTTTGATGATAAATTGATTGACACTGATGCTTGATTAATGGATTGATGGATTGTTGATGATTGACGACTGATGATTGAATGATGAATGATTGATGATTAATGGATGATTAATTGAATGATTGACTATTAATGTATGATTGATTGATGATAGATTGATGGTTGATGTATGATTAATGCTTAATTCTTGATTGAATGATTGATGATTGATTAATGTTTATTGATAATTGATTGATGATAAATTTATGAGGGATGAATGATTGATGATTAATGAATGATTAATTGAATTTTTGACTATTAATGTATGATTGATAAATGATAGATTGATGGTTGATCTATGATTAATGCTTAATTCGTGATTGATTGATTGATTGAATGATTGAGGATTGAGTGATGATTGATTGATGATTTATTGATAAATGATTAATGATTGATTGATGATTTATTGATAATGATTGATGATTGATTGATGATAGATTTATGAATGATGAATGATTGATGATTAATGGATGATTAATTGACTGATTGACTATTACTGTATGATTGATTGATGATAGATTGTTGGTTGATCTATGATTAATGCTTAATTCTTGATTGAATGATTGAGGATTGATGGATGATTGATTGATTGATGATTTATTGATAAATGATTGATGATAAATTTATGACTGATGATAAATTTATTAAAAGGATAGCCGCAGTCCATCTGAAATGTTGCAGGTTTGTAACATTTATTTCACTTGTTAAACAAAAAACAAAATTATCAAAAAAAATGATAAATTGAATGATGATTGATTCATGATTAATTGGTGAATGATTGATTGATTGAATGATACATTTATGATTTATTGATTGATTCATGATAGATGACTGATGGATGATTTATAGATGACTGAAAGCTGATTTATTGATGGTCAATTTATGATTGATTTATGAATGATTGATGATAGATTTATAATTGATGGTTGATTAATTGATTGTTAGATTATTTAATGATAATGATTGATTTATTGATGACTGGTTTATAACTTCTAATTTATTGATGGCTTGTTGATTAAAATGACTCTCAAGAGCTAATATACTTTTGAGTCCACATTCATCCTTCTATACTTGTCAAAAATGTAAACGTGCTGAGCTTTTCATTTAGGATTGCTGTTGTGCAATGCATAACCACATTTTTATCTATACACACTTGCTTATGATAAGAATGTACTGTATGGTTTGATAATCTGTCTGACAGAATGATTTTGATGAAAATTATTCAGAAAAATAAATTGAAGATTTTAAATTGTAATTTTTTTTCTTCGTTTGTTTAGATCTTCCATGAAGCGTATTGCCAAAGCAATGACCAATCTTGAACAGCGACGGCACAATGACAAATTTGCTAATCAATTCAACTACGCAATTAACTAGAGGTCTTTTCAAATTTAATTTTGCTTAAAGTGCATAGTAACACTGTGAAGTTGAATAGCTTGGTGGCCTTCCAATCCAAGTTCTTGGTTTAATTCCTGTGTCATGGTAATAGGATTTTTGTCTCATGACAAAAATTTAACTCCACTCCTCATAATGAGACTTGTTTACTTAGAGCAACTTGTGTTCATGTTTGTCTTGTGAATGGATATGCCACTTTTTGGCATAAACTTGGCCTAGGGCCTGACACACACAAAAAAAGAAAACATCAGCTAAGTCATCTGGATAGGAGAGCATAAACTTTTTCGATTATGATTATTACTGGATAATGGAGACTACATTTATGGTCATCTTCCAATATTCTTATCATTAAGCTGTTTATTTAGTTAATTGTTCCCATACCTATTTATATCATGATGGTAGAAAACAGTAACAAACTGGTATTAATACTAATTGAAATAATAAATTTGAATTTAATGTATATTGACTCTTTAAAAATGAATTTTTAATATTTTTTTGTAATTATAAAGTACTGTAAATTATACATTTGCTACAGGAAAATGTAAAATATGAATATTTCTTTTTTAGTCTTTTCTCAGGAATTTTACTAGATCTTCAGATGGTTAAAAAAATTGTAATGAAATGTTGGTTGCAACAACTGTATCTAAATTTCAAAATATCCTAGAACTTGTGATACATTTGTAATAAATAGTGCAATTGTTATATTTTGTAGAATGTTTTGTGGCAATGAACTAAAATACAGTTTACATGTCAGTTATCAAAGAAATACTTATTTAAAATTATGTAATCTATTTGAATTTGAATATAATTCTTCATCACAGTGGGCTTATTCGACTGGTTCATTTCGTTGACTACGATTTTTCGTTGAGTATTATTTTCATTCGATTGGTTCGCAAAATAGACTTGACGTAAACCAAAATGCGTTAATTAACATTAAGTTATCCATGTGACCAAAACAAACATGGCCGATTGGTCAGTTTAGCAACAACATTTGCGTTAATATAATTTAGATTAAATTTCACAAAATAAAAATTATAATACTTACACACATGAAGTCAAAAAATAATTTTAGGCTAACAAAATTCAAAAACTGAATGGAAACATTTTTTTTTTTTTACGAAAAACTCATACTGCCACAAGCCAAAACAACCTTTGATTACGCAGCGTGTATCGCGGTAGCTATGCAGCCATTTTGTTTTTATTTACCAGTTTTCTATTCGACTAGTCGTCTTTATTAAGTAGGATTTTACCACTGCGCAAGTGGGCGTGGTTTAACGAAGATCGGCCAGTCGAATGTGGCCATTGTCATTTTTGTGTTTTCTTTACCATTAAGTGATAATTTTGATTGATGAACTTGTTGTTCATAGCATTATAACCTGCTATGTAATTTGCCTTTTTGACCTTATTGGGAGTTTCCAAGAAATTAGATTGCTGGGGGCCTTCTGGGGTTTCCCCCTCCCGTGTATTATGTCCGTATCATGTTGTGTGCAAGTCTTCAGATAAGATTACGAGGACAACAAAACACTGTACATACGTACTATTCATATATATACAATTGTAAAATACGATGTGTGAGAATTAACGCCGGGAGCCCTCAGCAATGACGTCTGTTTGTAGAGGGAGACTAATCACTGTAAGTGGATCGGCGTGTACGTGACGTCACCATAATAAGCCACACCCCTCGCGAATCTTCCTGATCGATTATTTACGAAATACCTAAGATACTGCCACTCCAAAAAGAGAATACCCAGTGAAAAAAAAAACTTTAAAAAAGAAATGAAACTTTGACTTACTCATCAAATTGTAAATAATTTGTATAACTAAATTTAGTCCTTGCAATCAGTATAAAATTGGACGACTTTTATACACTTTTAACTCCTTCGTGAATTTAAAGGCAAATACACCATATTTCTCAGTGCGCTTTATATACTGAACATGCATATGTCACATTATATAGTGATTTATTTCTGGGTATTTAACCTAATGTTTAAAATGTAACGCAAATGTCGTCAGTGACATGTATAAATTTTTCTCAGCTTTTTACTAGATGGTGCCCACCAGCCAAACAAATATATAAAAGTACTTAAGACCTCATAGATTCTAATTTTGTGATTTTCTAGATTTGAACATATATTTGTGAACTTAGGAAATGCTACGTCAGCAACAATAATTTTGCGTTAAATATGCTTACTTGCATCAACAAGCGAGCTAAGAACTTTATCTGTTTCTATGAATCAAAATTGTTATACCAGTCGAGGAATCTTAATTTGTAAGTAAATTCCATTCGCTTAATAGGCCTACTTTTTGGATCTTTCCGAATTTAGCGCTTTTCATGTATCATCTATTTTCAATCCACAAATCCACCGCTCCTTGGCTCGGAGAATGTTTTTCTAATTGGACTAGGAAATTTGGTGCCTTTATTTAAAGGCACCTCAAATTAAGGACAACCTCATGTAGAAGATCTCCTAACCATGAATACTTCCGTCGCAGTGGTGGTCTAATTTGAGGCCATTATGCTGTTAGTGATCCAGGTAGACCTGTTTAAATTAGATTGAATTTATTCGGTATGAACACCAAGGATGACCCCACGGAAGTCTAAAGTTATTTCCGGTGGGGTCCTTATGGTGGTAAATGACTAGTACAACACCGGGAGACAACCCCATACGTACCTCCTCTCTTTCGTAACCGTGTACTGCGTTTTAACATGACTATGATCATGAATGTATTACACCTCTATGCTATGATGTACTATGTACATAGAGTGCTATGTAGGCCTAGTTAACCAGCTCGTTTTATATTTTGCACTTTAAAAGAATACGCCTCCAGACGCGTATGCGTTGGCTGTTGATTATTGGTATTATAGACCTTGGCACAAACCACGTCATGAAATTAATAAAAAATGTAAATGCTATTCATTTTTCATTGATTTACAAAAATTTTATAAAGAAAATTCTTAAATAGATTATTGTACCAACCAATTTAAGGGTGTAGGCCTGCGCAACGTAATACAGTACAGTAATAGTATTAGGCCTAATTATATTTACATTTAATTAATTTTTCATTGTAATTTTAAATTGAATGCTAATAACGTAATTATATAAATAATGCCGACAAACGAATTCCAATTTAACAAAAGAGCATAGCGTCGCTGTTAATGCGTTAGTCAATATTCATGTATATTATGTATGCATCCGTTTGCGCCTGTGATGCGTGGTTTTCAGTAGTTCCATGTTACATAATTCCAAAAAAACGTTTGAACTTTCAGTTAATTGACATGCTTCTATCAATCATACACTTTATTTCATTTGTATCAATACATTATCATCGGCTTTTTAACAATTTCTGAATATTCAAATTCGAAAGTCTTAGTAAGCTCCAAAAATAAAAATTAATAAATCGAGAAATGCCTCAAAGAGTAATGTGCCGTGTAGATGAATGAAAGTTGTTAATTTAAGCTACCTTGGCAAATACAAACCAAGCTTGCCTTACTTTTTTGTTGAATTTGCTAATTTTAATACAATTATAAAATCCTATGTTCCTATTTTCTTGTTATCACTTAAAATATAATATATATTTTTAAATGACTTGCATATTATTATACCGTATCGTTTCATAGTGCTACATACAACTAATTGCATTTCTAATCTGCACACCCTATGTTCCATCAAGAACTTTCTGTTCGTCAGACAAGAGATTTGGAATGACTTCCACAGTCCGTTCGTTCCGCTTCATCATTATGAATATTGAAATCACGCCTCAAAACACATTTAGACCTATTTTAAATCTAAAAGGAGTTTTTCCTTTGACTTGGAACAACGCCATGAGCGCATGTTGCGGACTTGGTGTATCCACAGGGGCGGATCCTGCATTTTTACCGTCTGAGAATGTAATTTACGGCCATCTATTCTTAAAATTTGCTCACCTCAGCACCAAACACGAAGAGACTCATGTGTGTGTAGACTCCCTATTGTTTCCACGGCAAAAACAATTCTGGATCCGCGACTGTTGGAGCCGCACAGAGTTGGCATTTACTGTATTTTACTATTTTTTCCCAATTTCTAGCTATAATACAGCTTCTCTGTGTGAGAGTAAACATCAGGTGTATGATAGAAGGTCTCTGGGGGTTGTACCTGTACTGTATATGCTAGGTCTCGGTGGTCTAACCGTGATACTCACCTTGACAGTGGAAGGCTACATGTTCTAATCCAGACACTCATACAACTGAAAACCCATACAGAAAAATTCTATAGAACTTTATATACCTTCTATAGAGTCTAATCAATTTCTACAGAAATTAGTATTTTCTATAAAATTGTTTTATAGAGGAACTAGTTTCTATAGAATTATATAACATACTATATACACATATTTAATGTAATTTCTATGTTTTTAATTTCTTTTTGTTTCATTCAATATTTTATTGACACATTCGTGTCTGACCAGTATAGACCTACCAACATGTTATACATCTTGCATATTCTATAGAAATTCTATAGAATATTCTATACAAATGATATTACAAGTTCTCTATAATAAAACTATAAAATTTCTATATTTATTCTATAAAAAATTATAGTCCTTACCTGTATTTTTTTTAATGTATTATAACAATTTTATAGGGATTATCTCTATAGGAACATATAAAATCTATATAGAGTATAACATATATGAAATTTCAATATAAATTTATTTATTTATAGTATATTCTGTAGAACTGTATAATATTCTAAACAGTCATTTTAAAAACTGTAACTTTTAATAGTCTATAGAAAATATATATAAAATATATATAAAAACTCTATGGAAACGTTTATAATTTGTAAAATTGTTTCTCTCTAGAAAGTATATATAAAATGAATACGAATGCTATGGAAGTGATTATCTGTAAATGAAATATTAAAAATTATTTTGAAAATTATATCTATAAAAAAATTATGTATAGAATGTA